TCCAAGATCTCAACCATACAGTACAACCAAATTATTGCACACAATTATAAAGAGAAGATTCAACACTCGTAGTCCTAAATGTGCACAAACAGATTGACATCCCAATATTGAAAACATGTCTCAAATATCAGGAGCCTGTGGTGATTAAAGAGAATAGCACTTCAGTAAAAGTGCTTTTATTTATTTTTGTGCTGTTATTACTGTAGAAGCAAGCATTAAGGGAAGGACTGATTTGCCTTGAGAGCAGCTAACCGTGCCTACACCGGACGTCACAGTTGACATTTTAAAGCAAAGAGGGACAAGAAATCGCCAATTACAGACACAATTATTGCAAAATTGCAAAACTGTATGCAATATTTTCTATACAGAAGCAAAGATGTGGTGATATTTTCAATGAAAAGGCTCTCAATAGGTGCAATGACTGCAAAGCTTTTGAAATTCTGTTCTGCTAGAGCTCTCAGATATAAATTATGAGTTGCTCAAGACAAGACAAGGTCTCTTGAGAATCTTTGGTGTGCTCATGACCATCTGAGCAAAGCTTAGTTTAATCTGAGAGCTTCTGGAGATTATAGAGAGAAAATCTCTCAGAGAGAACATTAGGAGGAGGCCAATCAGTATATGCACTTAAACACACATTCAATTCTTAAAAAAAAAAAAAAACAGTTTACAACATGATGTGTGATTAAATTGCTTATTGTGACAGTTATGACAAATTCTGTGATTTGTCATTATGAGGCATAAATACATTTCTAAAAGGAGAAATGTAATTTCTTTCAAGACACATCTTCGTGTTGTGAGTCATAACAGCTTACATAATGAATTTCCGTGTCTTAGGATGCTTAATTTAAACCAGAAAGCCCCCGAGTGTTCTTTAGCCTTATCCCCCATTTGTCATCTTCCCTCTTCTGTTCTGATCCACTTGGCTGTGTGGCAAACAGCCATCTAACTCGATTACATGCTTCTTCCTTAACCGACTGCAACAGCCAACCAAAAGCTGGACACACAGTAAAGTGATTATACACAGGAGCACAACCTAATGCACATCAAGGTGTATGTATGTGAACAGCTATCAGAGCTGTCATTTCTGAAGTCTAGAGCCGGAGGCGAAATGCGAGAGAGCAAAACGCAGCCACTAAATCAGCTCGATTTGTGTTTGCACAGACTCTTATGTTCTGCCACGTCAATACTACCAAGAGACTGCGGGGAATTCAACTTCTGAATGTGAGGGATAAACCAAGAGAATAGAAAGAATGTGGATAGGACATTATACGAATCATCTGAAGGCTAATATATGCATGTTACTGCTTATGGCTCTATTATGTAACTCACATTGCATAACACCACGAATATGACAAAGAATAAGATTCCTCATTCTTTATAACTGACTATAAATAGCCAGTGAAATCGCTTACTGCTTATTTTAGGCACATTTCCAATACAAATGCTGTTGTATTAATCTCAGATCAAAAACAGAGAAGTGCTGGTGGCGTACAGTTAAAGGAATAGTTCACCCAAAAAATTAAAATTTGATGAAAATGTACTAACCCTCAGGCCATCCAAGATGTAAATGAATTTGTTTTTTCATCAGGACAGATTTGGAGAAATTTAGCATTACATCACTTGCCCACCAATGGATCCTCTGCAGTGAATGGGTGCCGTCAGAATGAGAATTCAAACAACGTCTTGTAAAGTGAAAAGCTGCATGTTTGTAAGGAACTAATCCATCACTAAGGCATTTTAACTTTAAACTGTTGCTTCTGGCCGAACTACGAGTATACAATCTATAATAACACTTCCTCCCACATCAAAATCCACTGACATATTTCAGACTAGATGACATTTTTAGTGGAGAAAGCAATATTATGGATAGATGACTCATATTTTAGCTGGAAGCAACAGTTTGAAGTTAAAAACATCTTAATGATGGAATTATTACAGAAATACAACTTTTTGCTTCCCAAGACATTAACTGATGGACTGGAATGTACTTATGCTTTTATCAGCTGTTTGAACTCTCACTCTGACGGCACCCATTCACTGCAAAGGATCCATTGTTAAGCAAGTGATATAATACTAAGTTTCTCCAAATCTGTTCCAATGAAGAAACAAACACATCTACATCTTGGATGGTCTGAGGGTGAGTACATTTTCATTTACAGAGAGGATACAAATGATGGCAGATCATCAAAGTACAGTCTGTAATTGCAGAAATTCACAGGTTATTGGTGGTTAAACAAGAACAACAATACGGTTTCTGTCATGCCTCCAACCATGTTTTTTAAGGTCACACTTTTGCTTCATTCAAATGAGTCATATTGCAAGACTTAATTTCCCTCACTATTCAAGTGAGTTAATGATCATTACTATTATTAAAACCTCCTGCAAACTCATTTATGATAACATCTCTGCCTCAGTCATTGTTACTTGCATGCTTACACAAGCATGTAGAGAGGGTTACTGGGTTTCTCTACATCTATTTTGATACCAACCTACTGAAACTTCCAAATGACTTCCAGCTGACACAACAGCAGATAGCTTTGGACTGCAATGAAGTTGCTCTGGGTGTGATGGTGAATCTGAGTGAGAAAGACATTGATCAAATCCGAGAATCAGAGAATTCACTGCATAATAAGTATACTATTTATTGAACAGTGCCTTTAATGAAACTCTTTACTGTACAGTGCCTTTAATGAAACTGATAATATGCTGTGGACTGATAATTTGTATTCATATTTATTTAGATAAATACAATAAAAATGTCTTGAATACACCTCCAGTTTCTGAATTAAAATAAATGTTTTGGTCTGACCCAATCGATTTGTGGGCAGTGCTCCGATTCGCACAGTTGCCAGTAAGAATAAAAAAAAGGAAAAAGTATATGATGATAAACTACATGATAATATATTATCAATGGTGTCAAATGGTGTAATTCCAACATTTTTAAAAGACGTTCCTTTTTAGCATTTTCCTGTTAACCGCAGCATCAAATTCAGATGTAACACACAATCTTGAGAAATGTTTTTACAGGCACTTGAAGTGTATGAAATGGGTACTTTTCCTCTCACCAGAGAACTACAGTAGGTTTTTGGAGTTCATGACAGTTTAAATCCTCAGAGGTGCTGGAGGAATCTATTAAAAAGGACTTTCAGTCTCTGAATAAAGACAACAGTGAACAGTGAGTGCAAACAGATAAAGAAAGCAGCAGAGAAACACTTCACCCACACTCTGTCATTTAACAGTGTGAAATTCATCACGAGCCTTTCGTAAGCATTCACAGCCCACCTTTACGTTGTCAGTCTATTTGTGCATATTTCTGGGTGAACAACATCTTTCTCTGATATATTTTGTCCATACTCTGTGCCCCAGGTGCCCCTGTCAGGTGAAGACACACAGGCCATTATAGAGATGGACATCTCGAACTCAGAGGAAAACAAACCACATTCAGTGCCTCTGTGTTCAGGTCTTATAATTTAACCATTAATTACACAGACAGCGCACTAAACTGAGGTGCACTAAACTGAGGTGTGCGTGCACACACACACACACACGTCTGGTCAGCTATCCTTGTGGGGACTCTCCATAGGCGTAATGGTTTTTCTACTGTACAGACCGTATACTCTATTGCCCTACACCAACCCTACCCCTAAACCTACCCCTCACAGGAAACTTTCAGCATTTTCACACACACACACACACACACACACACATTTGCTACTACTACTACTCATATAACGAATATGGCTGCAACTGCGAACATTCAACACTAGATGGCAGAAGAGGGCAGGAACTGCAAATCACAAGTTGCAACGTTATCAGAATTCGTTTATGAGCAACTCAGTAGTCTTTAGTTTAGAATTTGGTTTGTCTCTTCGTTAAAATTTCTTTCTCTTTTATTGATATTAAAAACACATGACTCACCGATTCGTTGAACACTGGGACGAAGTAGACTGCTGAAGTCTTCTGGAGACAAAATCGGAGGATGTTGACAAAAATGACATGCAAGAGTCGTTTTGATATTTTTTTTTTACTCTGAAATTGCTGCTTCTACTTAAAACGGAAAAAAAATAAATAAAGCAAGAAATTCTTTGAAATTTGTGTGACGATATATTTCTATAAATGACATTCTATATAATACACTTCTATATAAATGTCAAATGTACGACATGTTAACTTATCACAGAAACATGCAGAACACTAGATTTAAATCAAAACATCTTTTGGCTGATTTATAAGCCAAACACACATGGGTGTGTGTGTGTACAGGTTTTTCTATACTGGTGGGGACTTAAACCTGAATACACACCAACTCATGGGGACTTGTGTCCCCATGGGTACAAAAGCTTATAAATAATACAGAATTATAATTTTTATTTTTTTTGAGATTGTAAAAATGCAGAAAGTTTTCTGTGAGCGGTAGGTTTAGGTGTAGGGCGATAGAAAATACAGTTTGTACAGTATAAAAACAATTACGCCTATGGAGAGTCCCTACAAGGATTGTGCACCAGACGTGTGTGTGTGTACTTATTTTGTGTACTAAATGGAAGTCTGAAATATCCTAATTGAGATAGCGAAACAAACGTGTGTGTGTGTGTGTGTGTGTGTATAACTTACCAGAACCTTTAATTTTGAACTCATTTATGGTTCCATGAAGAACCTTTAAAATCCATGGAACTTTACATTGCACAAAAGGTTCTCCATAGTGGAAAAATTTTCTTTAGATTATTTAAATGTTCTTCACACTTAAAAAAAAAAAAAAAAAAGGTTCTTCTTGTGTCCTGAAACTGTTTATCTTTGTGCCCAGAGATGTGATCAAAACCAAATATTCCTTAAGGCAGTAACAATATAATTAAGCCCACTAACTGAAAGTACAGTGCTAAAAACTGGTGAAAATATTGAGCTCCAATAAGCAAATAGACATTACTTCATGTCCTCTCACCCCTTAGGTATTCAGAAACATAAATATAATGGAGACAATGAAAAGTAAAACAATACCAGCATGCTAGACTGAACAAATTTTTTTAAAGCAAACTATTGAAAAAAAAAAAAAATTCCACACTATAAATAAAGCCATATACACAGCATTCTGATACAAAATGGAGGCATATCATTTATAACCAACAACACAATTTCAAAATTTCAAATTTCACAGTTTCACAATTTTAAAATACACGCTGCTATAGGACCATCTTTCAATTTTGATTACTTAGCATCTGTTTACAAAAATCCTTAACCGTTTTATAAAAGTGGAGTGATTTTTGAAATCTAACCACGAGTGTGGTGAATCTCTAAACCAGTTAATTTCCCCAGAGTGAACATAGCAGTTAAATTATTTTGTGAAAAATTTGTTAAATTCAATCAAGAGATAGCATCAAGTGACCAAACAGACCATAGCAGGATCACAAAAATCACAAAAGATATTCACATTTTGATTCAAACAGCTTGTGAACTCTATAAGATATTGCACTTTAAAGCTTCCAAGTAAAGTTAAGCTGTAAACGTTTTATGCCTTAGGGCCGAAGGCATAAAAAGTCTCTTAAAAAGAGAAAACAAATCCATTTTGAATGGACCACCTATAATCACTTACACTCCCACACCATATGAAAGGAATATGATTAAGAATATAAAATAAAATCATTTAAAAATATTATCTTTGGTTGATTATTTTGCTCTTAGTGTGATTCTCTGAAGAAAATTTAAATTCTCAGTGTTTCTCACACACCATGGCAGTCCATTGTTTGAGAAGTCTAAAGGCACGCATTACCGAATCTTTGTATGTGGCCCAAAGCACGGCTGGAATTCATCCTGTCCTGCCTTGATCTGAAATGACAATGTGTGAACAAATGGCGGCCAAGAACACGAGTTATTCAGTTATTCCTGAACTCTACCCATGTTTACAAAGCCTCTCCCCTGTGACACATTAGTCAGCCATTTGTCTCTCATTAATTGTCTCAAAAGACAGTCAATCCAAAGTATTGCCTACATAGTTTCTGCACGTAGGTTTCTGTTGAACAATATGAACTTTTCCTTCAAAAGAAAATATGTCTAAAACAGAAGGGAGAATAACAGGTTTGTCCTGCACACGCCTCCCAGCAGTTTTTCAGTTCTGACAATAAAAAAAACACCCTATACACAATATGTAGCGTCCATCCTTTTGAGCTTATTTGCTCATGAAGAGATTCATCAGTCCGGCATTATGCAGCTCTTGCCACAACCTCATTTCCATTCGCATGTCATGATTGGCATAGAAATGCACTGGATGTCGCTGTTTGTCGTAGTAGTGGTCCGAATACAATCTGTAGTCAGGGGTCATGAACCCATAAGCATCAACCTGTTAATAAAACAAGCATCATCATATCACTAACTTTCCTTGGCAGACAAAAAGATTAAAAGGTTAATGCTCCATCGTGTTTGAAAATAATGTACTACCTACACTAAAGCCTAACTGATAGTATTAACAAAAGCAACTGTGAGATGAAAAAAACATTCGCTGAAGCAACCATGTAATTTTAGCTTGCTTCTACTAGTCTTTGAGCTTTCTTATCATGACTCGTGTTTCACCGGACTTGTACATGATCATGCAATGCTGTGAACCTACCAAGCAAGTTTACTACATCAGAGAAAAGCCATGCATGTGATGCAAATGTCAAAATGTATTAACAAATCATGCACTGTGGTAAAACTTTTTTGCGGTCCTAACATAATTTTATGCAAGGAACTGCACGAAAATAATACTGTTATAATCTGCCCCTGTAATCATAATTTACGTGAGAAGGAAAAAAAGTTATTTCAACTGGAAACAGCAGTGAATTTTATGTATAAGTACATTTTGAACGTTTTTTCTATGAGACTGGGTTGATTTTATGACAGCAATAGTCTTTAATATGTCCAACCAAGGTCACCTGTCTGTATAGACTACACATCTAACATAGGTTAAATAAGTGTTTCAACCTTTGACAATCTTGTAAAGCTACTGTAGGTGTTTGCATACAATTTAAGGTACAATGATCTGTCAACACTGTCATTATGTTTTTATCAATTGTGACACAAAACAGACAGAGAAGGACATGGGTGTTGCTACTCATTTTACAGCAGGGCACATTCTTAAGGAACCTTTTTGGTGTCATTAAAATCTCATAAAAAAAAAAAAAAACCAAGCAAACCTGGTCACATGTATGAATAGCAGCTAGGAGCATTACTGCTCCTGTGGACGGCCTGTAAATTCTTCTTGCACCTGTTTTCAGAAGTCTGGAATGCAGGAACCTTGATGAGGAAAAGGAAAGTGTTAAACTTCGAAGACCAAACAAAATAAAAAACATACTACATTTAAATCATCCAACCGCTTCTGGATGATCTGTGGTCAGATATGTATGTATAATGGCCACTGAACTGTATTATTGACCACTGTTGCATGCAACAAATTTCCACTGTAGCTGTGCTAGTTTTATGTGTCTCTTACTACTCATCACGGTTTCCACAAAAATATTAAAGGGGTCATATGATGCTATTTTAAAGATAATTATTCTGTTATCAACATTGATAATGATAAATGTTTCTTGAGCAGCAAATCAGCATATTAGAATGATTTCCGAAGGATTGTGAGACACTGAAGACTGCATTAATGGCTGTTGAAAATTCAGCTTTGCCATCATAGGAATCAATGACATTTTAAATGATATCAAAATAGAAAAGTGAAAATTGTAATGTTGTGAAATATTTTTACAATTTGAAAACTGTGTTGAACAAATAAATGCAGAGACATTTAAAAGAAAAATAAACTCCAAAGATTTGAACAGCAGTGTATTTTGGAAGCAGACATTTAATAAGTGGGATAATGTGCAGTTAGCCGCTTTGTGCTTTCTTGATCTCTCTGTCTGGAATTCATTTAGCAATAATTACTATCCGAGTGTACAGTATATTATCCCTTAGTCTATGTTTGCAAAGCTTACCTGTTTCTGAGGTAGCGGGTAAAGTCTGGGTGGTAGATTTTGAATTTTTCTACCGTCACATCTTTACCAAAGTATGCAGGGGGACTGAAAGAGATATGCATTATAATTAAATTGAGTCTTAATTGTGTATATAATGTATAATATTATAAAAGTGTCTTTTATCTACAAAAATCAAAACATTGAGAGATGGATGTCATGAGAGATGGACTTTATCAGTTGTAGTGATCAACGATATGCATAAGCAATGTTTGACATGTCAGTTTACATAATGTTGTTATGATATTTACTTTTTGCTGCGCTCAGGGCCTTTAACAATTGCTGTGTGTGTGGAAGCCGCCTTCATAAGAATATAATCTCTGTCATGGTCTGGCAGGAATATATACCTGGTCTCCTACACAGATGGAGATGAACAGAGATAGAGAGACATTTGTCAGCAAACAACGTCACAACTCAACATCAACACAACTCCCGAAGCAAAAGGGTAGAGGAAGGTACTATCAACGCAAAGATCACGGGTTCTGTCATGGAACAGATCATAGTCAAAGAACTCAATTTCACTCAATATAATATAACAATTTTGACAAACAGTGGAGTTACGGTGTCTTATCTTTGCTTGGTACTGTACTACCCAGACAACAATGGATACCTTGGATATAGGTGGACCTCTGTAGCCTATGCGAGCGTATCTACGCATGGAGTTTCGCATAGTATTGGTTGAGAATGTGTAGAAGGAAGTCCGGGATCCCACATCATTCTCAAACCCTTTAAGAGCCGCACCATTTACTCTACAGATGGAAAAGAATCATTGTGATATTAATCAAACATGACTTACCTTCACTTTTAGAAAAAGAAGAGTCTAAATAATGAAAACATAACCTGAAACACTGATTTAAGGGAAAACTATACCATTAAAAAAATTACACAAATCAGTCAGACTTTCAGTCTAGTGCAAAAGACATGCTATTACTGTCTTTTGAGATTTGTATCACTTTGAGGAGCACCAACATAATAAATATTAATATCTCTTAATGATCAACCTCATCACCTGAAGACATAGTCATGTTCATCAATCTCCTTTCCTTTCCTTGAACCATTCAGTATTCCACCGTTTCCCACCACAGCACAGCGAATACACTTGGATCCGTTTGCACTATTCTCCCAGTCATCAAACATCAACCGATTTGCAGGTGTATTTAAAATTCCCAGTGAGCTGTTCAACACTGTGAATAACAACAGACACAAAACCAACCAAACAAACAACCATAAAAATTGATTCATGTTAGGCGTATCATTTTACTTTAATCCCTGCAGGAATTAATAGATAATATAATTACAAGTAACACCACAAAATAATTACACCTTCAATACATGTAGTTCATTAGTATGGAGTCAGAAGTAGTATTAATAAATACTTTCAAGTTTCAAAAGCAAATGTAGGTATTTATTTTAAAATAACTAAAATAAATAATTGAAACAAATCAACTAGGCATTAATAACCAGATTGATAATTAGTAGTATTTAATAAAACAATTTAATTTCCAAATTAATTATTTATAATAAGATCAAGTTCTTATTTGTTAATTGCTTCTGGCAATAGTGAATATTTATCTACGTGATTTTTTGTATTTTTTTTTTGCTGCAAAACATATCTAAATAATTTCATTATCTAAAAATGCTGACAAAACCCGAGCATAAAAGTAATGGCACGCTAATGGCTAAATCACTCTGAAACCTTGGACAATAAAAACACTCGGAGCAGGTAAATTTGAAGTTTTAGAAGACTAGTGACTTCAAGCAGATCCCCAAAAACAACACACCTTCGGCACTAACACCTCCCCAGCCGTGTGCTCCACCGTAGTGCCTCAACCGCTGGTACTCTTCTGGAGTGAAATGCTTTGCCCACTGAAGCACTGGAATATTGTGCAGAAACATCTCAGCAAACTGAGTCTGAGGCACACGCTTCCTAATGTTGTTGGGACAGTTCTGCAATAAAGACAAACATTGAGAGAAAGGTTAGCATGTTTCAGGGCAGTTGAAAACACAGTTTTCACATTAAAACAACAATGGCTAACAATTAAAAACAAAAAATTTAATTGAAAATTAATTGGACCGTTTTTTTACATAAATTAATGTATTTACTATACAAAAACAGTATTATTGTGAAATACTGTTTCAACTTAAACTGTTTTAAAGGTTTACTATTGTAATACATTTTAAAATTTAATTTATTCCCGAGATGGAATTTTCAGCAGCCATTGCTCCAGTCTTCAGTGTCACATGATCCTTCAGAAATCATTCTAATATACTGATTTAGTGCTCAAGAAACATTTCTTACTATTATCAAAGTTCAAAACAGTTGACTCGAACAGTAGCTGCTTAATTTTTCTGTGGAAACCATGATACATTTTAGGATTCTATGATGAACAGAAAGTTTAAATGAACAACATTTATTCAAAATATAAATCTTTTGTACATGTCTTTACTTACATCACTTGCTCACCATTGGATCCTCTGCAGTGAATGGGTGCTGCCAGAATGGAAGTACAAACAGCTGATAAAAACATCATAATCGTCAAGTAATTCATATGACCCCAGTCCATGAGTTAAAAAAACCCGGCATATTTGTGAGAAAAAAACCTTTAAGATATTTTTTACTTTAAACCATCGCTTCCGTCCAAAATATAAGTCCTTAATTTATGATGCCTCTTCGTCCCCTGTTGTCCTCTCACATCAAAATCCACTGACATTTGTTTAGAACTGTTTTGGACTGTTTTAACTTATAAATGGTACTTAAAGGCGACATATCATGAAAATCTGACTTTTCCAGGTTTTAAAGGGGTCATATGATGCAATTTAAATTTTTCCTTTCTCTTTGGAGTGTTACAACCTC